GGCCGATCGCAAATATCTCTCATATCTTTTCTTGCGTTTAAGTTGTCTTTTGTTTTTCCGGCGACATCCATCACAGTATTTATGACATTGTCGAAAACATTCTTTTCTATGTGCATGACGTCAAGATTATGATGAATAAGATGAGCCTTCCAATATGGTAGATCCCAAAATATATTGCGTTTTGTCCACTTATGTGTACTTCCGTACGCAAAAGTCGTGCCGTGCGGGTTCTCAACAACAGTTGGAAAGTCCTGCACACGCTCCCAAATTTGATCGCCGGTCAACCTCATTGGTGGACGCGTTCTTTCAGTCCTATTCTTGGTGAACTCTTTCTTATTCCTTCTGAAAGGATGACTTGGCGGTAAAAATTGTCTGTGACAGTCAAAATAGTTGGGCTTCTTTCCATGTTTTAATCTAAATGACTTTGACTTCTCCAAACATATCGGACATCCTAAGATCCCAGCTGTACTCTATCCAAATAACATTCCGTAAGCTGGAAAGTCATTTATCGTCCAAAGAAGGGCAGCCTTCATTACAAATGTTTGATCGGTAGAAACGTCATACGTAGGGACACCTTCAACCCATAGCCTTTGTAACTCCTCAATCAATGGTTGCATATAAACATCTATCAACTTTTTCGGATTTTGCGGCCCTGTCACGATCAATGTCAAAAACATATAAGGTGTCTTCATGCACATACCAGGTGGAAGATTGTACGGCGTTAAGATAACTGGCCAACATGAATAACTTTTTTCTATTTTCCCAAATGGAGCAAATCTATCGGCACAGAGACCTAACCTGATGTTCCGAGGCTCCATCGCAAACTCAGGGTATGTTCTATCAAAATGTTGCCATGCCTCCACATCTGAAGGATGACACATTAGACCCTCTTCTGTTTCATGATTTGCATGCCAAGTCATGTGTTCAGCAGTGGCTTTAGACGCATAAAGCCTTTGCAATCTGGGGATTAAGGGCAGATAAAACATTTGCTTGCATGATCTACGCTTCTGATTACGACCCGGCCTCCTGTTAATCTTGTACCTAGGTTGGCTACAGAATTTGCAAGATTCTGCATTTTCATCATCTCTCCAATATATCATACAACCCCTACTACATACATCAATCCTTACAACCGGAAGACCTAAGTTATCCACTAGATTTTTCATATCATAAAAATCACTTGGCATGATGTTATCACGAGGCAATGATTCCCGCATTACTTCAACAAAAGAGTTGAAGCAATCCGCAGACACATTATGCTCTACCTTAATATTTAATAGTTGGGCTGTCACCGATAACTTAGTGTGGTCCTCACAACCTGGCCATAAAGGTTCATCTGCTGCTTTCAACACATCCCGAAACTGATTAGATTGAAAAGTTTCATTATAGACATTCTCATCAAAACCCGTTACTCCTATATTTTCCAATTGTGAAGCATGACTAGTACCCACTTGTTCACGTATAGGAGTAAAACTAGTACTTGCATGATTTGATTCTGTGACAAAATTATAACTAGCTGCATCAATCACCATCCTCTCGTATGGGTTCAATTGCTCATAATAGCCACATTCTTCCCTAACTGAAAATTGGTCACTTCTTCCATATCCTTCATCAGATATAAATGGTTCACCATGGGAAGTCCAATTATAATAGTTCGGACTAAACCCAAATCTAGTAAGGTGTTCTCTAACTTGATCACACACAAGAAATTTACCATTACCGCACTTTTTACACAGACACCTTAATTTATTTCCATCCATAAACTCATATTTACTACTAGCAAAGTCTAAAAATAGTTCCAACCCAAGATCTGAAACTCATCTCGTCAATCCTTGACGTCCAGGTAAGTTCTTATTATACATCCAAGCCCTTTCTCTTTGCATTGTGTCTGTATTAAAATAAAAAATTATGGTAAAATATTTAAAATATCATATCTATTGTTCTTAATTAAAACCATAAAATTTTTGAAATTATAATTTTTGTTATTCACGCAACAATTAATATGAAATTGCAAAAATAGAAAAAATTACCATGTAAAGAAGACTTACCCAAATATTTGATTGAAATATCGGTAGGAGAAAGTGGTCAATTTGATGAGAATTGCAACGTCCACTTGGATTGCGAAACCTTCAATTAGACACATACCCAAAAAGAATAATCACTGAAGAATCATTTTTTAATAATTTTTAATGTGCGATGGAAAATGGAATTCATCCGTCGCAAATTTGCGACGGAATCAAGGATCCGTCGCAAATTTGCGACGGATTGCCTTTATTCCGTCGCAAATTTGCGACGGATTTCCTTTATTCCGTCGCAAATTTGCGAAGGATCCTTGATTCCGTCGCAAATTTGCGACGGAATTTTCACTTATTCGTCGCAAATTTGCGACGGAAATGGCCGTTCTGCCTCATCCAAAGGCCGGCGAGGTGTCCACGGTCGTTCAACCGGTGATGCAGATACGAAAAAAAAATAAACATAAACATATATAAAATAAAAAAAATTACAATTCAACGATGAATAGTCACGAAGCTAGCTAATGATACTTACCGGTACAAAAGCTTCACCGAGATTAATATATGCGTGCGTGAATTTTGCTGATTTCAGACATATGAAAGAGGGAGAAAAGCGAGAGAGAGCGAGAGAGAGCGAGAGAGAGAGATAGGGCTGGAATATCACGGGCTAATAAACTACAAATTTGCGACGGACGTGCGTTTTCGTCGCAAATTTGCGACGGATTTGGCGACGGTTTTTTTTTCCGTCGGAAATTTGCGACGGATTTATTTTCCGTTGCAAATTTGCGACGGATTTTGCGACGGTTTTTTTTTCCGTCGCAAATTTGCGACGAACTTTTCTCCGTCGCAAATTTGCGACGGAATTAGCGACGGTTTTTTATTTCCGTCGCAAATTTGCAATGGAATTTGCGACGTATAAAAATTCCGTCGCAAATTTCCGACGGATTTTTCATCCGTCGCAAATTCCGTCGCAAATTTGTGACGGAAATATAATCCGTCGCAAATTTGCGACGAAAAATTTCCGTCGCAAATTACATGTTTTTTTGTAGTGCCAGTTCTTGGCCGAGGACTAGCAATGCGATGCCTGATGAGTCGAGAACACTAGTCCAATCTTCCTTCTATAGATTGTTCCTAAGGATAGTATGGAAAATTATATCCTCACACCGAATCATGCCATGCCCAATTAATCACAAGCATCTAGTCTTGCGAACGAAACACACATATCACTTTAGAACAACAACTGGTTTCGACCTACCGAAACCTCATTAGAAAAGCGACATCAATTCCTAACCAGTTTGCTCACGGGAGGCCAACTCCGCCTTCAGAGATCCTCTAAAATGGTATTCGGTTCACTTCAGGACTCCTCACCCAAATGCTCTGATGCAACTCTCACAAATCAGTCGTTTTTCATCCCTTTTGCATCACTCACTCTTTATCCCAATGCTACAAAGCTCCACTCTTTAGCCCGCAAGGGCACGGGAGAAATCGGGCCGTGACATTCTTCCCCACCCAATTTCGCTACTCCCTCGTTGCAAGCTGTTTTGTCGATTCATTGCGCCCCACAAAGATTAATGCCACTCCCTTGGGACTTACATGACTGCAAACGCTCACCCAACAGAACAAGCCAACAATACACTTTATAAGTAGCTACCCCTGATTAAAGCTGTTTGTGAATCTCTAGTTGCTAGTGCTTGTGCAGCATCCTGAGCCAGCTATGCTCCCTTGGCAGCACTTTCTTTAGTCTACTAGGCTTCCCTTGATCTTAGCAGACCAATTGAGGTTTCTCTCCTCGCTTGAAACATGGTAAGAGACCTTTGCTTGAGATACACCCATGATCCGGAAACATTTTCCCTATTTGATGAGCGATTCGGTTCATTCTTGTCCCCCTTGTCATCCTAAAAGCTTATTGAGAGCCGCATCTTGTCCATGCCCTATGGCCCCGTCATCACCCCTTGCCCTCATAGGACCGAGTAAAACACATTCCCTGAATCACCCACCTACTAAAGAAATCCTGCTCTGATACCATTTTTCATGGGCCGACAGTTTCCTGGCCGAGGACAAGCCCATGCAATACTTAGTGAGTCGAGAACACCGGCCAACCTTTCTTCTATAAATTGTTCCTAAGGACAATATGGCGAATCACCTCTTCATACCGGATCGTACTACGCCTTATTAAACTAGAGCATTCAGTCGCTCGAGCGAGACACACAGATCACTTCAGAACAACAATTGGCTTTGGCCTACCATAGCCTCATCAGAAGAGCGGCATCAGCTCCCAACCAGTTTATGCACGGGAGCCCGACCGTTTATGCACGGGAGGCCGACCCCACCTTCAAAGATCATCTAAGATGGTATTCGTTCCGGGACTCCTTGGACAAACACTGTGACTGCTCCCATAAAACCAATTGTTCCATCCATTCTACGTCACTCACTCTTCACCATTTGCCACAAAACTCCACTCTTTAGCCCACAAGAGTACGGAAGAAATCAGGCCGTGACACTATGCTATTCAAATAGGCATATCAGAGTTTATTAGCTTACATCTCAGCTATCATTTGTGTGATTTTTCTTTTGCTCGAAATCAGGTGTGTGAATTTAACAAAAAGAAAAATGTTATATCAGATATAATTTGGTGATGGCCCCACCTCCTGGCTGCCAATATGGGCAAAGTTTTTATGTAACTTTTACATATGTACTCGAAATTTGGTATGTTGCATGTCCACACAAATTATTAGGTGGATTGCGTACATAAATTCCTTGTTTATATAAGCTGTTGAACTCGACGAGTCCTTTCATAGCCTAGATGAACAAAAAGTGCGTACACCCGACTTATCTAGCAATGGCTCACGCATATGAGCACCATTAACAGCATTCAACCCTCAGCTATTACTTTCCATTAAGTAAAGTGAACGAGCTTGAGCACATGGACCGACCAACACGCATGGCGACGAGATCGTCCTCCGACAGATTCTAAAGGGCCAAAAGACAGGAAAAAGAGAAAGGCAATTCCTTGCATTGATCAGCGTTGAAGCGTTTCCTTTAACTCTACTTGCTTTTCAATCCGAAGAAGCGAATAGTTATCAGCAACTTCTGAGCAGTAAAATACAACTAAAAATAAGTCTCATAAGTCGAATACTAATCTTTGTTTTTAAGGGGTTTTATGAAATAATCGATTCAGAGCCTTAGGGACAAGTCAAGCTGACAAAACTCCTCCTGATGAGAATTTTCTGGTCGATACCCTTTCGAAGCCGACCCGTACTTCACCATCTCTCGCACCCCTCCGTAGCCCAAGTCTCCAAGAAAGCCACCCACGTGCTCGTGGTGGTGCTGATGAGTGCGAACGGCATGACTCAAGCCTGACTGTGAGCGCGCCGCGTGGGCTATGACGGCCGAGCTCAACTCCGATCTGCTTTTCTTGGCGAGGGTGCGCTCGAGCTTGTGCGCGTTCTGGTGGCCGCCGAGCGCCTGCGAGCTGTAGAACTTCCTATGGCAGAAGTTGCACGAGAACATCCGAGCCACTTCGGACGGACTGCGTGGCGATGAGGAGGAGGAGGACGACGGGTCGAGGAAACGCTCCAGGTTGGGCTGGTTGTTTGGTAAGCTGAGATGAAGGGAAGTGTTTGGTTGATAATTATAATCCATTGAGAGAGAGAGAGAGAGAGTATGATTGAACCAAGAACTGTGTAGCTGAGAAAAGGGTTAAGTGCAATTGATGTTACGGTTCACCAGAGCGAGAGCAAGAGAGCGACAGAGACAGAGAGAGAGATGGGTAAGAGTGGTGATGCGAAGAAGAGGGTATGTGCTGCATTATATTGGGGAAGATGATTCACTATTACTTTAGCCCCTGATTAACACAATAGTAAAAAAACGATGAGTTGGAGTGTGTAAAAGAGAGAGACAGATAGACGGAGAGATCAGTGGGGAATCGAAGGTTTTGTCGCTTCTGTTAATGGCAGCATTCGAATCCCCTGTCGGTCAGCAGAAATGCTTGCTGTACTCTCTCCCTCTCTTGTCCTATACGAGCACACACACCGATATAACTATCTAGTTTAACCCATGCAATGATGTTTCGTGCTCTAGACTAGCAAATTATATATATTTTTGCCAGATTCGCCTACGACAAGCAAAGTGGCGTAGACAAGAGAAACAATCTTGAACTAGCCCAAACGTACAACATGATAAGAGACCAATTTGCAATGGTTTGAAGGAGAATCTTCCAACATTGCCCCATATTTTATAGGACAAATAATTGTGTCTGCCTGCCTCTTGGAATCTTAGGGGCAGAGAGTGTTGATTTATGTTTTTGAGTCTAGGGTATGCTTTTGGGATAACTAGTTTGTTGATCCCATTTGGTAAAATTTCTTAAACTCATAGATTAATATTTCTTGGGAGTCATTGGTCGAACCTTGAACAGAGTGACTACATGAAAAACAAAATCAAAATCCAATAACTTTGGTGAAAAAGTTAGAAATACCATGATCTACTTCAAAAGTTATAGGAACATTAGATGATCGTCAACGTGATTTACCCATCTACGCTTGATCTTTCACGTGCAGTCAGGAGAATGTATATCTAATTTAGGTATACATTGTAAATGCTATGAAGTAAATTCTTCTGATTTTGTTGGGGACAACAGGCATTGGGCTATGTTTCAGAGGATGCAATTTAGGTAGTGTGGCAAAAATTGGGTTTACGAACCCGGGTCTCAAAAGAAACTTGAAGGATGTCCGATTTCTGAGTAGTTATGTCTTTCCTTTGATTAGTTATGTTGTGAGTTGGAAGGGGTTGTTAAGAGATATGGTGATTTCATTGACGACTGAGGTAAGCAACATGGTGAAAAGAAAGGAGCTAGAAAGACAATATGGTCAAATTACTTGGTCGGTGGTGTGGAGTGTTTAGTGAAAATCAAAAATATCACTGGGGAATCGAGTTCATTGGTGATCGAAATTTCTGTGGTAGATACAGCCTATCAGAAGAGGATAGAACTGTAAAGAAGCTTCTTATGGCAGAGAATCCAGTAGAAATGTGGACCAAGTTTGTTCCTCTAGACAAATCTGAGCTCAGCTTGGGCTTGATAGACGTCTGTGATGGTTGAGCACCTGTTGAGGCATTGGGAGAGCCGACATGGATGATGAGCACTATGACTTGGGTACAAATGTCAAGCTAAGGTAGAGGATTGTCAAATCATTTCTCGAGTTGGAGCCTGTGAAAATAATAGATCTATGTAGCAATTCAAAATTCGAATAGAAATTGCGGTTTGACATCCGAATAAGTAAGAAATAACTTAAACACTTTCCACGTTGGAGTTGGATTCCTAGTTTGAGTCAGCAAGTCATAGAAAAATATATAAAAACAGAATTATACTCGGTTATTTTACACTTGAGCAAACAATAGAAATGTTAAAGTTTTCTCTTTGTGAGTTTTGTGAGTAAGTTACCTATGAGAGATTTTGAAATAACACCGCGAGTTTTGCTTTGAGTGTTTTTTAGGACTGGGAAATACTTGAGCAATTAAGCGATTATAAACTCTATATTCAGAGGATTCATAGTGGATTTCTCGGTAGCTAGCTCTCCCATTGGAGTAGGTACCAATATTCGGAACAAACCACGTAAATCTCTTATGTGGTTATTGTTCATTATTAATTTCTTTGATAATTTCTTCTTGTCATGTTAGATTGGAATTGTAAGATCCGTTAACTTTCGTGTTTTTTGACAACAAATACAGTGATTATGAGTAAGATATATATGTTACCTTATTTGTTGACATATAGTTGATATAATTTATAACGGGAAAATGATATCACAAGTTTCATAACTCTCGTACAGCACTCACTTCAGTACTCCAATCATTTTTTTAATCACTTGAGTGCCACCTTAATATATAAAAAAAAAGCAATCATTTTAACGTCATCGATGATTTGTGTAGTCGGAAAATCTAACGTAACAATATTCTAATATAAACCGTCCAATGTGATTCGTCAGCAAAGTGAAGTCAGCAAAATCACTACTAAAGATGTCATGAATCACTTTTGTTTGCCCCAAATTAACAAATTAGGGCTAAATTCATTGTGTTCTTCAAACCCTAACCCAACAACCAATGAATCGGGGCAAAATTAGGTGTTGAAATTTGCAATGGAGAGCAAGAGCAGGAGAAGGTTTCATAAATGTCTCTTGATTGTCGAGATTGACGCAGTAATTGAAGAGATCCGGGAACTAGGAGATGCCAGAGAAGGGCATAAAGATGGTGGACCACGTGGCTGACATCTTATCAGAGATCTTGAGGTAGCGGCCGCGAGGAATTCTCCTTCAGATAGAAGTAAAAGAGCTTGTGTTCCACTTGTAGAGTTCTTGCACATCAATTCGGCATCATTCCCCTAACACCTCATCCTCCCCCTGAACTCCCCTCCATTTCCTCCCTCCTACAAACACACCCCGCCCCAAAATCCCCACAAAATCAAACAGATTTCAGTTTCTTCGACCTGATGGTTGTCTTGGGACAGTTCAAACGAAATTGCCGAGCCCGGCGTAGCCGTAGGGCTAAGGACGACACAGAGGGAGCAAGAGAGATCAATGTTTTTTCCTTAGATGAAACGATGCCGTTTTAACCAAAAGTGCCACCTCATCTTGTTCATTGTCCATTTTGGACTTAAATGTTTTTTAAAATGCCACGTCGGACTTAAAGTCAAGTAGGACGAATTGCTGGAGTATATCGTAGGAGGCACTGAAGTTGTCGATTTTTTTACTGATGTGATGCCCAAGTGATAGAAGAAAAGGTTCGTGCTAGTTAAATGAGCGCCGAAGTCTATCTAAAACTAACTTCTCCCGACAAACCACAAAAATCTGCGTTTGTAGGAATCTCTCTCCTCTCTCCATCGGTGGGTAAATTAGTTAATGCATAAAAACATCGAAGATGACTGAACCAAAGCACATGGCCATCAAATTTGGAACAGTAGAGTGGCAGACAAAAGAAATCCAAAATACTATTTTTTTCGATGTCATTACAATATGGTTCCTATCATTGCACATGCTCATTAACAAAGCCATATTGTTAAGAATTTCGATTGAAATCTGCATTAAGATTAATGGAGGTCAGCTATGATTACGGGCGATTACTGTTCCTCAATCACAGACAACTCACATACTGCCAAAAACCTACTCGTTCCTGTTAACTTGCTGATCCTTTAGTTTATCGTTTTTGTCAACATTGGTGTTGATTCAAGGTATGGAACACTTATTCCTTTCGCACAACGCGGGTCGACTGGATTTTCTTAATGGGGTGTGTTCCCTCGTATCTGGACATGCCAAGGGAAACGGAATTATGTGTTGATCATTAAGAAATAGATAAGGTTCGTGAAAGTGATCGGTGCTTTCCTCTTTGTTTATTTTGTGGGCAATACCACCCACCAAGGGGGATGTTTTCTGTGCTTTGAATCTATGGATTGTGATCATCTCTATTTCCGACATTTAGGTTTTCAATTTAGTCATTCCGGCACATCAATGATCAAATTGAGAATATCGAATAACCCATGTTATCGACAAGATTGAGAACCTCTAAAGTTGTCGAGTAACTTTACTATATAAAGTTACCTTTTAATTGATCTGCTTGCTTGTGGCCACGGCCTATGATGCCACCGAGATCGACTTCCTGAGCTAGGATCCGGCTCAAGACACACATAAAGTGGGACGGGGCATGATAGCTTGAGGCAGTATCTGACGGGCTGAATGGCCACTTTTAAGACCGTCCTTGTTCCGAATAGTGAGTGTTCCGACCTCTCTCGGTCCATTGGCAACTCTCTAGGCTAGTCCTTGATGGTCCCTTGGTTTACCATCGCTTTAGGATTGTCGAGATCCTTTTTGGGGCCGTTTCTAAGCTCGGGATTGGGCTGGACACCGACTATCGGTCCATAGCCACCTCCATGAATTGGTCCCCGATGGCATTTATTTATCTGTTTTAGCATCGCATTACATATAGTTACTCGTATAAGGATCCGTATTTCATGAAATTTCAGCCTTCATTGCATCATCATTAACATGCATTTGAATCTATTGGGACCTCTTTTCGGGAAACCGTTGGCAACGCAGAGTTTAGACCACGTCTCTTTCTCACTACATTTTTTTTTATATTCCCGCATTTAAGTTTAGGTTGATTTTTCTAATACATATTTAGATAAACTCATTGCATAATGCATAGATAAATAATAAAAGTAAAAATAATATTAGGATTAGTTTAGTTTTTTTATTATTGCTAATTTCATCATATTTCATTTAGACGAGTTCCGTTCTTAGACTAGTGCACATTTACTTTATATGCATAGCTCAAGGAAGTCTTGTTCTGGGGCATTATGACAAAACTTTGTATTGACTTTGCACGAAACGATTCGGGAATGTTTTCTTTTTAGTCTTTTTATTCAATTTATCTTTGTTTGTGATTGGTTTTATTTTAGTGTTTGCACACTTATGCATCATCAAATAGATTTACATGATTAGAGATAAAAATCAGAAATGATCGCAAGAAATAACGTTTCACTAAAAGAGAAAAAGTACAGGTAAGGGCATTAGGCAAAAGTAGCATAACCAAGTCCTCAAACCCGAAATCTCTGGTCCACGTAAGTAAGGTGGGCTCCCGCACATTACTCGACTCCTAAATTTACTGACAACTCTAAATTAAATTCGATAAATAATAAATAAAAAACCAAATTGCGGGTTGGTAGGGTTTAAGAGAGCTCGTGCAAAACGTAAGCGTTGCCTTGTAAA